TGCACATTTTTACCAGGTTGAAGTTAAGCGTAGACTGTTAGTGGTTAAACTTATAAAAACGCAATAAATTTTGAGGTTTCCAAAAAAATGCATATACGAAGTTTTTATTTCCATTATGAAAATTGTTAGTTCTGATAAAATTTGGAAGGTAGAATGCAGCCTATTGGAGATTAAAACGAAATGATACAAATCATTCACAGAAGTGAAAACATTTTAACGAATAATCTACTGTCATTACCAAATACGAATCGACAATTATTTATCGCTCTGCAGCACAAATCAGTAAAGTGTCAAGACTCAGCCTATCTTAATGTTAGAATCGACAATTATTGATCCCCGTTCCCTGTAGTTATCGCACTGCAACACTAATCAGTAAAAAAATGTCTCGACTCAGTCTATCTTAATGTTAGAATCGACAATTATTGATCCCCGTTCCGTGTAGTTATCGCACTGCAACACTAATCAATAAAAATGTCTCGACGCAGGCTGTCTTAGTGTTAGAATCAAGAAATTGTTGTTCATTTTCGTCGTTAGCAATGCATATTTTGCAACAGGAATCAAATTTTGATCTCGATTGCACACTGTAAGGATTTGCTGAAGGTTCAAATCGAGAAATGCATTCCCGTAAACGTGATTATCGAAATTTTGTAACAGGAACACGCTTTTTGTAACAGGTTTACGCTTTGTAAACACTTGGTGACGTTATTTACCAAGCCCAGAAATTTAGATACGTAACGATCCGGGTAAACTTATAAATCCTATAAATAAACTTATTCTAAAAGGTTACCAATTCAACACTGTAATTAGATCTTTGAATATTGCTTTATTGGTATGAATATTGATTTTGTTATCAGTTAATTAAAACCATTCTAAATATTATTGTTATACACATATGCACATTTACGGTACTACAATCTGTCGATACCTTTATTTTGGCATTGTACAAGGTCATGTTTTTCTTTGTCTGTTAGTGATGTCTTTACACTAAATCCATTGGATGTTGGATGTGTACTGATTTATATTAATTCTTTAATAGATACATGATTTTTATTATAATTGTTGTAATTGGCTTTGAAATATCTGACAGTAACTACGAATACTTTCAGATCTGCACTTTGTGTCTTTTTAATTGTTTTAGGGATGTATAAATACCCTGCCATTTCCGGTCTGTGTTTTTGTTAGATATTTTTTCTGTTTTGAATCGATCTGATGAGTTAAGACCTTTTCAACTGATGTTTATAGTTTGTTCTTATTTTGTACTGGTCCAAGGACACAGTTATCGTCATCTACGAATATAGTCCCTAGTGTGAACAGTGTATAACTTGCCATTTTTTTTCATACACTTTGCCAATTTATTTCTTTATATTTTATGCATGAAATATCAAGTAAGGGGATGAAATTACAAGTTAAAAAAATTTGTGAGCTGAATCTTTATGTTAAGTAGTGATTAGGTCCAGTTAAAAAAGGTAAAAAATTAGTATGTCTGAAGCGGTCAAACTGAATTTTAAACCCCCTTAACATAGAATTGTCCATATTTTGAGTTAGAGCTGGTAGACTTTTCTATAATTTTGATATTATTTGTCCCAATAGTAGTACACTACACTGTAAAAATCTTTTTGAGATAGAGCAGGTGCGATTTTTTTAATTTGAATTTATTGTATAAAATAAATACACTACGAAATAACTGTGTTCTCGTGCCTACTGTTACACCACTGTTCAAGGTTAGGTGGGGGGGGGGGATATGTTGGCGCCTTCAAACATGTTTACCCCGCCACATTCTTTATGTGCCTGTCCCAAGGCTGGAGCCTCTAGTTCAGTGGTTGTCGTTTGTTTATGTCTGTAATATTTGTTTTTTCGTAAAAAAAAATTATAAATTAGGCCGTTAGTTTTCACAATTGAATTGTTTCATATTTTTTAATGTTAGGGCTTTTTATAGCCGACTATACGGTATGGGTTTATCTCATTTGTTGAAGGCCGTACGGTTACCTATAATTGCTTACATCCACTTCATTTGAACTTTGGCGGATAGTTGTCTCTTTGGCAATCATACCACATCTCCTTATTTTGATATGGGTATGAAAGTTTCTAATCTTGAATTTATTGATTCCTGTTCATAGTTATTTTTGCAATTTTGCAACAGAAATCAATTATTTTGCTTATATTTGTTTTTCTGTTATTGTTTTTTACACAAATCAGGCCATTAGTTTTCTCGTTTGAATCGTTTATATTTATCATTTCGAGGCCTTTCGTAATTTGCTATGCGGTATCGGTTTTGTTCATTGTTGAAGGCTGTACTGTGACCTATAGTTGCTAACCTTATATGTCATTTTGTTTCTGGTGAAGAGTTGTCTCATTGGCAATCATACCACATCTTCTCATTTTTATAATTATTTCCACCCCTCAAGTGCACATATTTTGACATTCCACCAGGTCATGCGTTTCGCATACTGTTTATGACGTCTTTAATACTTAATCCGTTGGATGTGTCTAGGGGGACATGATTTATTTCTTAGTTGTACTTGGCTTTGAACTAGCTTTCATTAACTGCGAGTACTCTTATATCGGTGCTTTGTGATTTTTGTTTTTATGTTTGTTGGAGGGTTTTTTTTCTTTCGTGTGCATCGTTCCAATCTTTTGAGTTAAGCCAGTTGCAACTGATTATTACAGTTTTTCTTTTGTTGTGCTGTTAAACCACTGTCTTAGGTTAGGGATAGGTTGCGCGCTCACAAACATGTTTAGCCGTGCCACATTCCTGTTTATATCCCTTATGTTTTTTTGTGAGTCGAGCCATTTCCGACTGATTTCTACAATTTGTTCTTATGTTGTGCTGTTACACCACTGTCCCATGTTAGGGAATGTCTGTGCCAAATAATGAGCCTTCTATTCTGTGGTTGTCGTTTGTTCATGTCTGTTATACTTGTTTTTCGTAAATTAAATTGTTATAAATTAGGCCATTCGTTAGGTGTCTTGTTGAAATTTTTCATGTCGGTACCTTTTGTAGCTGACTTTACGGTATGGGTTTTTTCATTGTTGAAGGCCGTACAGTACTTTTAATTGCTTATTTTGAACTCTGGTGGATATTTATTTCATTACAAAATTACCTCATATCCTTATTTTTAGATTAAAAACAAGACATGGAAGGCAGCTGTTTATATGTATACTGGGTGTGTATCAGTTTTTATGTCTATATATATATATGTCATGTAATATAATATGATATAAAGCGTACAGTAAATTGTTTTCCGATGATATATCCCCACAGACTTTACATTTACCTAAGGGCTGGTTCAGCTTCAAAGTAAATATCTTGTTCATGTCAAGGTAAATCTCTATCATTTCAGCTTGTGATGTGTAAATTACTTTCTTGACCTCAAAATTACAAATTTGATCAACTTTGTCAGAATTGAATATTTTTCAAATGATGAATTTGTCCTAAGGAAAAGGCAATTTGCTTTATTAACAGTTGTACAATTTTTATTGTTTAAGCTCTCGATCATTTCTCACTTATCTATTTTTATTAACTTATTATTTCAAAATATCAAATTCCAATCTTTAAGAATTAAATGCTTCTTTTTGTTATTTTATTAGATGTAAAAGTTTTGACCGAAACACATTTTGTATGAAGCGCTTCCACTAAAAATGGTGTACATGAATAACTCTTTTACAACCCTATAAATTACAAAAAGAAGCTCACAGTTCTTATTATTATATTTGTATGCTAATGTGCTGTCATGAATGTTGAATTTTATTGAGAAATACAATTTGAAATTGGAATGCCTCGCGATTGCTTTCAGCCGATCAAAAGTACGGATTAAAATGAAACCTATGATGTAAAACAATTATATAATGAACATAATATTATGAAAACCAACTTTTTAAATAATTGATTTTCATTACTTTCAAGATTTTCCTCGGCTGCAATTTATCTGTAATATTATAAATACTAACTTGAGTGATTGATTGTTTGAATAATGTTTACTTTGCGTCCTTTGGAAAGATTGGTGTTCTCATTTTATAGGAAGCATACATGTCGCAAAAATTTTTTAATGTGTGTGAGTTTATTTTCATTGTTGTGTTTTCTATTTTGCTGTAACAAATTGTGCTGATTTCTCAAAAGTACGTATGTTGAAGATGAAGACCCATTATAAAAAATACACATGGACCAATTGACCATTCCAGGGCGAAAGAGTTCACAATCGGGGTTTTCGTTAGGTTCGTGTTGCCCAATTTCAAGTTTTCTGTGTTTTGTTTGTGGACTGTTGTTATCTGTTCGTCTTTTACTTTTGGTCATGGAATTCTCTGTTTTTCTTCGACAGAGACAATTGTTCTGGCACTGTACCTTGTACTGATTAATATCAGAAGCATTAGTAATGGACTTCTGATAATATTAAAAATATCAAAAATAATCCAAATGCACGGGTTAATTCAGTAATTTTGGTGATATCTAACAATACATTTAAATTTCTCAGAACTACTTCTACTGAAAAGTCACGCATTACCTTTTCTCAACACATGCTTTCAAAATTGTACTTCTTTTTAACCGATGCAACAATAATAGTGTTGGTAAAACAATCCTATGTATATTAAATATCTAAATACAACATAATTACTAGTATATAAAATATTTAAATGTTTGTCCTATATAAAATTGGCAGACCTTATATGTAGTAAAGGGATTAAGACCACATAAAATTAGGAGGAATGCTTTTGGCAACTTTCCAACAAGTGATGAAGATCCGTAGCCAAGGACTCTAAAGTACTGGTTGCTTTGGCTATTAAAACAAGACATCTCTTTTTGAATATGTAGGTGTAATTTATACCATACGATTTACATAGAGTTAAAGAAACTTGCATCTGATATAATTATAATGTCAACATGTTACGATGTTACTGATAAAACATGGTGTAACCTATTGTATGTTGTATTTTATCATGGTATAGTATGCTGGAGGTCGGCATTTGGTAAATATAACTTTGTCAGTGTAAAATAAACCTTAACATAAATTTAAATATTTTATATTTCGATACATATTATATGACACTGAAAATAGTTATTTTATCGCACACATATATAAGCACTTATAATGCTGATTAAATGCACCCGTTTTCGGTAATATTTAGATTCTACAGAAATGTCTTATGTTTAATAGTCTCGTTATAATCTATCATAATCTGGATTGTTTTCTACCTGAAGTCGTTTATAACTTTCCATGTCATATTCCGGTACTGTGTCACTGTATCTAACCACATCCGTTGGTGGAACCGATTCAGATTTCCGTTCGTTGCGTTTCCAGGCTTGCTGTTTGATTTTGTTGCCCGTTTGGAGGTCGGTTGCGGGTACATTTCTTGCGTGGGCAAGTTCTAAAGACTGCAAGTCAAGATGGTATCGACTATCACGCTTATTAATTTGGTCGTCTTTTTTCGGAGCCGAGAGTGCAGACCGAATATTAACTGCATTTGCATCCAGTTTCCCTCCTTTGTGCGTTTCTTCACTTCCACGAATTTGTTCATTAATTTTGTCTAATTTTGGTGCCGATAATGCACCTTTTATTAAAACAGAATTGGCATCAATATGAAATGGCTGTGGAGAACCCTGATCACAGTGTGATTTGCAGTATACATGTATATCCCAATCGTCAATTTTATTATGACAAAAATTCTTCAAATTTAGTTTTGTACCACAGGTTTTGCACGTAAAACACCCCTTATGGTATACAACATCTTTAACTGGTCCTATTTTTTCCATCGGGTATACTTTTTTCATACAACGATAGCACTTATCTTGGGGATATTTAGTTTCGATTTTCAACGATGAAGCTCTTGTTGGAGCTTTTTGAACATTTGTTGTTTGCGGTTCGCTAAAATGTCGAACAAAAATTGGCGATTTTGGCGAATTGGGTCCTGGGCTGTTATCTGATAGCGATACATTCGGCATTCCTATTCCACTCGACGGCGAAGCAGGTCCAGATGATGTCGTACTACTGGTTTCAGACAACACTAACTGTCGTCTTGCGGTCGAGTTTGGTGTATTGGGTGATGATAAATTAATTGGTGTTGATATGAATTGTGGACTTCTCGGAGAATACTGTGGTTCTTCATAGTTTTGGTGGCCCTCGATATCTCTTCGAACAGTTTTTCTCAAGTCAACCGCAGATGGTATATTGTTCTGAAGTTGTAACATAAGAGTAAGCTGTTGTTTTGCTTCATTACTAGAAGGATCAAAAGACTGACCTGATTGCATTGAATGTTGGAAAACTCCTGGGTTTGAACTGTCCATTGTCGACTGTGGTAATGGCATGTAATGCATCGGATTTGTCGGTGAAATTGGTAATACTCCCGCCATTAGTCCAGAAGATGTTGGCACAAAATTTGGCATTGAATGAAAAATAATGGGCGATGTCACGTTCTGGCTCTGATATAAATCAGGCTGAAGTCCATTTGTTAGTGTTAAATTTCCCATTTGAGCGTTTAATTGCATTTGTTGAAAAGCTATGAATTGTTCAGGTGTAAAAGTCGTACCAGTCACATTCTGTTGCTGAGGCAAAGCATTAAAATGTCCAGAGCTGCTCAAACTTTGGTTTAGATTAGAATTTACATCCATTTTCAAAACAGGTGGAATTTATATAAAAGTCAAATAAATGGCAAGAATTTAAACAGGTGTTGTGCGGTAGACCTGAGTATTTCTTTTAAACGAATTACTGTCCTCGTTTTATTGTGCCGTATATACACTTGTAAGAAATAACAAACGGTGGGTAAGATTTCAGTGTCATGCTTGGCAGATTCACACCAATCATAAACAACTTATTACCTGATTATTTTTCATTGTTCGGGGAGATTTTTAAACCGTATTCTTATTATTACATTGTGTATTTAAAGAAAAACAATCAACATCTTAGAGAAAGGCGATTTTAAGGATTGATATTAAAAGGAATTTCACTACTTTGATTAAATCTCTTCATAATAACAACTTATCCATGTGATTATATTTGCATATCGATAAATAATTACTATCTCATAATTTATTGAACTTTGTGTTTAATTTGTCTTTCCAAGTCATTAATTTCTTTTATTCACTTATTTCTTTAACCTTGTAAACAAATATGTCACATAGTCATATACACTAATATATATATATATATATATATGAATGTCAAATTTCGATTATAAAGAAATATATCTAAAATTTAAGGTATGCATATATGGTGTTTCCTAATATGCTTTATCATTCAGGTTTGTAATTTTGTAATGCTTGGTGTATTTAAACCTGCATGCGTGACAGTAATTATTACAAATAATGTATAGCTTATTAAATTCATTGATGTGTTTGAGCGTTTGATTTTGCCATTTGTCAAGGGACTTTCCGTTTTGAATTTTCCTTGGAGTTCGATATTTTTGTTATCTTACTTTTTATAATATCAAAAAAATAAAATACTATGATGTCGTTTTTTTCTGTTTTATTAATATTTATATACATGAGTACAGATAAACGCGATCCCCCTGCAACACAGAATACTGTACTATTTTTTTGTATTTATGAATGTGTACTGAGTCTCCTTTCGTCACATGTGAGCTGGCAAACGTTATTTTGCTCACCAGACACGAAGTCTTTCCAGAAAAAAAATATGACAAGTGTCTCTTAACGGATAACCTTAGGAATCTGATACCGAAAACAAACTAAATAAACACAATGACTGAAAATCCAAACCTAGCTAACTGCATATAAGGGAAATGCGATTTCATTGATTTGTTTGAAGGATGGTAAAACAGGAAAGCGGTTTCATTGATTTGTTTGAAGGATGGTGAAACCTTTAAGTATTGATACCAATCAGTTGAATAGTACTAAGTATTGCTGCTCTGTCCTCCTAAAATAGTCATATCCGGGTAAACTTATCAATCCTTTAAATAAACTTATTCTAAAAGGTTACATGTTTAACCCCGCCATATATTCTGTATGTGCCTGTCACAAGTCAGGAGCCTGTAATTTAGTGGTTGTCGTTTGTTGCGTATATCGTATTAGTTTTTCGTTCATTGTTTGGTACATAAATCAGGCCGCTAGTTTTCGCGTTTAAATTGTTTTACATTTGTCATTTCGGGGCCATTTATAGCTTACTAAGCGGTATGGGTTTTTTCATTGTTGAAGGCCGTACGGTACCTATAGTCGTTAACTTCTGTATGAAACAATCCAAACGAGAAAACCAACAGTCTGATTAATGACAAAACAATAAACCAAAAACAGATATGACAGACATCAACCAATAACAACTACTAAATTACAGGCTTCTGACTTAGGACATGTACACAATGAATGAGGCGGGGGTCAAACATGTTTGTGAGCCCTCAATCCCCCATAACCTGGGACAGAGGTGTAACAGCACAATATAAGAACATACTGATTCACTCCGTTTGAAATGGCTTGACTCGTCAGATTGGCACGAAGCACAAAGACAAAATTTACATAAGGACAAAAGACACATAGTAACGACTAAGTTTTTGATCAGGTGCGAAGTTTATGTTTTACTATTAGATACATACATTTCCTGTGTGTTTATATTTCACTACTTTTTTAGTATTTATACTGACAAGTTCAACTTGGCTTAGTTACAACCCGTCTGACTACATGTGGATGTTACAAACCGTCTGACTACATAGGGATGTTAAAGATCTCTCGTGGGACTTAATAAATATGTTTATTCATAGATTTTATGCTTAAAATTGTGGATGACCCGTTGGATGAGTTTTCTTGCCACCATTTAAATGCACGAATTATCATTGAAATGGTCATAATTATAGATTAACTGTTTACAAAACTTTGATTTTTTTCGAAATATTAAGGATTTTCTACTCCAGCAATAGCTTACCTTCACTTTATTTGGCAAAACCATTCCAAATGTTGGGTTCTCAATGCTCTTCAACTTCGTATTTTATTTGGCCTTTTTAACGTTTTTGATCTGTGCGTCACAGATGAGTCTTTTGTAGACGAAACGAGCATGTGACGTGCAAAACTTTAATCCTGGTATCTATGTTAGTTTATTTAAAGTAAGCCGACGATTACGTACAGGTTGTAGAACCATCAATGATACTTTAAAAATTTGATGAATGTCGTATAGCCAGGAAGACAAGAGGTACGACATGACGTAAATCTTAGTTTAATACACCACACAACACTTTCATTTAAAACAAAATGCAACCGGTCATGATTATGCCGTTTTTTGTTTTGCTTATAACTAATTATTTACAGTACTTATGAAAAAACTTATGCTCAATTCTTTCAATAAACTGTGTGCAAAATTGCTCTCTTTGATTTAAATTGAAGAAATTAAAACACATGAGTCATGGCATCATTTAAATTTCGTCTATAATCAATGTACATTGTATCTTCTTCAGCATAAAATATACATCTAATTACAAACGACTACCAATATTTTTTATAGTATTTATTTTTTGACCAATTGATTAAAATATAAAACAAAAAAAGCGTTTAAAAACATTTGCATTTCACCTTTAAAGCCTGTCTCAGGAAACTAAACAATATCATTGCAAAAAAGAAAATGGACGAAAAAAACATACAAAACACTATACAGAAAAACAAAAAGATTGAACAACACGAACCCAGCCAAAACATAGAATGATCTCAGATGGGTAAGCAGATCCTGCTCCACAAATGACACCAGTCGTGTTGCTCATGGAAATCACACATTGGGGTGATGTCATAAAAAAAACAAAAGCTGGCGATATTTCCAATGGGAACCAACAGTTAATCTCTTCTTGCGCATCTTGTTCTCTTTATTTATATGAGGCAGAATGCACAAATGAGCCTCTCTAGAAGACTGTGAAGAAGTTAGAACTATCAGTTAAATTCGCCCTCCACTATATATATATATATATATATATATATTATATATATATATATATATATCCTCTCACTAAATAATTCAAATTGGATGACTGCAAATATATGTTGAACGAATCTATCCCATACTATTGTTTACTTTCTATTTCTATATAACAACACACAGCGCCTGCATATGTAGTATATATCTCCCATTTGATGAGATATTCCAGGGTTTTCATATCCTATCATGATTTCTTTGATAATTTTTTGCTGCTTACAAAGAGCTATTGAACCAAGAGTTCCATTTAGTTAAGTTGAAGTCATCCCTTCGAAAGTTTTACGGATATTGTCATTATTTGGTCGATTGCTAATGAATATCTGTGTCACAGATGACAACAAATATATTCCACTAGTCGTACCTACAATCCCTTCCTCTTTCCATCGATTTTAACATCACCAAGTGCGACTTATAACCAATTGTTTAAATGTCAAGGTGAACACGACGGGTGTCAATGGTGGAGCAGGAACTTCTTACTCTTCCAAAATTTCTGGGTTCCCCCCCCCCCGGTTTTAGTTAGGGTCGTGTTGTTCATTCTAAAAATTATGTTTAAAGACTTTCTAAAATGGAATAGCTAGTCTTCAAATGATCGTGACAGGTATACCAATTATGAAGCAGGTAATGCACTGATAAAAACTAGAATAAAAGACACATAGATCATTTGTCATCTCCAATCAGTAGGTTCTTACACAAACTTAAAACTTAGTGATGCAACTTTTTGACCCTTGAATTTGAATTTTAAAAATCTATCAACTAATGTCCTGCAGATGGTCATATGATAGACCGTCAGATACCAGTATCTATATTTTTTAATCTTATCAAACATAATTGCTTTAGTCTTTCAAACTTCTTGAATTCAAAGACCTGTCAAAGCAAATAGTCATTGATAGTTAGACACGAGCAATAGCCATGACCAAAAAGATTGATTTTTTTTTACACAAAAATGTTAATGCGAGTACAATGTCGTTTTCGATAAGGCTGTAACTTATATTAATTTTAACATAAAACGTGTGTAAACACAAAGGTTATTTTAGGTAAAAATATGTCGATTTGAACATGTTTACGACGTCTTTGTGATATAATAAATGACATTTATTCACTATAGTGACCAGATTATTTTATCTTATTCATTTATTAATAAACTAAAAATAATTTTTTAACAAATTAAAAGATTCTCTGGATCTTTTTTCAATGTTAGGGTCATAACTGCGATTTCCCATTAGACCATTTGATTTCAAAACCGTGTTCAGTTTTTGTAAAAAAAATAATAGGAAAGCGTAATGTGACTTTAAATGCCTTATCTAAACAGAACAGCCAAAATAGATAATTTAAAGGTGAGATGCAACCTTAGTTTATTTATATAATTGCATGATATACCAATAAAAAATACAAAAATGTATTTATTAAAAAATATTGCGAATGTTTCATTTGATAGCCAAATTACAACAATTGATATCCTCACAATAAATAATACAAAGTTTGGTGACTGTTGAACGCATCTATCTATCCCAACGAACTTGAAAAAAAAGGATACCACAGATACAGTTAAGTCTGCTTCAAATCTTGACTTACATCTCGAAAATGACAATGAAGATCGGTTGAGAACTGAACTTTATGACAAAAGAGATGATTGCAGCTTTCCAATTGTGAACCTTCATTTCTATGTCGTAACAAAGCAATAGTGAATGCATACGGAGTAAATACCGGAGCTTGCGTTTCCTGGTTTAACTCACCATTTTCTTCGGAAAATTACTGTACAAGTCAGGAATATGACAGTTGTTTTTTCACTCGTTTCGTTGGTTGATAACGTTTGATTTTGTCAGTTTTAATGGAGTTCACTTTTTTGAATTTACCTTGG